AAGAGCTGGCACAGGACTTGGAAAGTATGGTACACAAGGCCTACCCAACTGCACCACCCGATCTCCTCAAGTTGTAACTAACGTCCGGAGGCGTAACATAAGTAATAAATATTAGCATAATCGCTTATCAAATGATCTAGCCCTTCTGATTCCCTCAGCAAGGAGATGGCCTTGGAAGAGGATTGCATCGTCCCTGCACAAATATATTTTAAGTTTACGTTTCACAATGCAATAACTAAACTTTCCTCGTCATTACCTTTAGTCGTATTTTCAACCAATGAGAGAATGGAACAGGTATTAAAGAACCTAATTTATTTTTTATTTTTTTATAGCTTTTCTTGCTCAGTCATGTTTCCTTGTGTATAGCTTATTTTCTATGACTCAACTCTGACGAAAACGAGGACAACTTGTAGAAAGCAGAAGGATTTAGTATTTTGTTTTTAAATACCTATGTACACTAACACGAACTAGCCTTGAGTGAAGAAACGAACAACTCCCAACTTATACGACGACATTATAAACGTTCTATGGTTGCTTTTTGTTTCTGTTTTGAAAGGCCAGATAACATACATACATACACAATTAAGTTGGCAAAGCTGTGTTTTGTCGCACCTGAGTTTAACTGAGATTATAAATACTCCAGTATTTCGAGTGCTTCATTGTTAAATTCCATCTCCTCAACTTCATAAAATCCTAGGTAATTTTCAGCTTCAATAATGTGCATGCTCTTTCTATACCTTAACCCTAACCCAACACCTGACGGTTATCTCATGATTGTCGCGAATGTCAGAGACGAGTTTTACTATCGCCCCACCCTTCCCTGCCATGTCTGGAATCAGGACCCACGGATTGTGGGAGGTAAGTAAAATGTTTCAATTTGTTTTCGTCGCGTAGTTTGAGACATAAGTTCGGTACACAAATTTATATTGTGTGTCACTAGAACTTATACTTATAGGTGTTATATTATTGCACAAAGAACCACACAGAAGCAGTGCGTTACGAAGTTATATTACATAATGTGAAAAGCTGAGAATGCAGATTGATGGTTAAAACTGTTATAAGAGGAAAAAACGTGAGGTTGTTACTTTAACCACAGGACAACAGTCAGTATGTTTCCTCAACCTAGCTGGGCAGATAAGATTTGATAGTATTATTACTCCAAACTGCAGTCCTTACTGATAATGCGGGTTTTGTTACCTAATGTGAGTATATAGGTAACATATTAAACTCTAGTTTTGTTACCTAATGTGAGTTTATGTGTAACATATTAAACCCTAGTTTTGTTACCTAATGTGAGTTTATGTGTAACATATTAAACCCTAGTTTTGTTACCTAATGTGAGTTTATGTGTAACATATTAAACCCTAGTTTTGTTACCTAATGTGAGTTTATGTGTAACATATTAAACCCTAGTTTTGTTACCTAATGTGAGTTTATGTGTAATATATTAAACCCAAGTTTTGTTACCTAATGTGAGTTTATGTGTATCATATTAAACCCTAGTTTTGTTACCTAATGTGAGTTTATGTGTAACATATTGAACCCTAGTTTTGTTACCTAATGTGAGTTTATGTGTATCATATTAAACCCTAGTTTTGGTTACACATAAACTCACATTAGGTAACAAAACTAGGGTTTAATATGTTACACATAAACTCACATTAGGTAACAAAACTAGGGTTTAATATGTTACACATAAACTCACATTAGGTAAATATTAAACCCTAGTTTTGTTACCTAATGTGAGCATAGAGATGTGTGAAAGTCTAAAAAAATGCAAGTCATCTTCCACTCTTAACGATGTATAAAGTTCTGTTAGGTACCTATTTGGGCTGATGGTACCCAAAAAGTCTGGAACCATAGGCATTTCAACAAACTTTACAAAATATTGTACACTTACTGTCCTCGTAATTCGAAACAACTTTTGAGACGGTATTTCCATACTCTTTGAGTCCTGCAAAGCATATTCATGTCATTGTCAATTGTCCTAACACTCGTCACGAATTCGTTGTTTCAGATGTTCAGTGTCCCTATTTTCTCTTTGTACAGTCCCTAGAAAAAGAAATCCAATGGAGTCAAGTCTGGAGATCTTGAAGTTCATTCCTAGGACCACATCTGCCAATCCAATGTCATAGGAAGGTGTCATTCAACCAAACCCAAACTTCTGTTGCATAATACGGGGTGGGAGCTATTCTGCATGAACCAGATCGTGCCAATCCAATGTCCTAGAAATGTGTCATTTAACCAAACCCAGACTTCTTTTGCATAATGTGCAACAGAGCTATTCTGCATGAACCAGGTCATTGCCCAGTTTTTCAACTGTGTCATTATTTGTTCCTGTAACATGTGAAAGTATCGTGCACCACTCGCTGTTGTATCAACTGTTGTATCGTTGTTAGGACAACAAGCAACCACATATGAATAGATTATTAATAATTTTGGAATTTTATAAGAATGATAATCAGAAATGCAATAAATACTTTCATTTCTAATATAAATTAACTAAATCTGTACCTAGTGTTAACATCTTTAACAAACAACTAAATAATCTAATCATAAGACAATGTTCTTGTAAAACAAAATTGCTATTCTTTCACCCAGTTAGATTCCTGGCACGCAATCAGCGTTTTGTTTACGCCTACATCTAGAAACTAGAAACCGGTTCTTAAATCTGGTTTCTTGGTGTTTCACATTTACCGATGATTATCAAATGCAAATTCAACACAAAACAAATTTAAATATTTTAGATTTAAGGTTCACGGTTATAATTAAAATAAAAAACAAACACCAGTCGAGTAAAAGCAGCAAGTGGATGGAGTGAGCTGTAGTGAGGTAAAGTTAAAGGAAATTTCGATATTTTTGTTATGAAGCATTATATTATCACTATTAAAGAGGCAACATTTGCAGGAGAATGCAACATGTCTCCTCCATACAATCCCGACATGGCCAATTTTGACACCATAAAAATCTTGAAAAATAGAACAATGGAAAATTGTCTGTATCACTGCTTGGTACTTACAAGAAGGTCTCTTTATACCAAATCTCATGTAAAATAAAATATCCCGTAAACCTCAAATTTAAAAATTGAGCAGAAGAAAATTCCAAAATTGTCTATTTATCTGTTTATGCAAAGTGTATCTTTGTACCAAATTTAATGTAAATTGGTATAAACGGGGCTAAGTAAATGATCAAAATCCCTATCTATTTAACATATTGGCCTCCTAAAATGACAAAAAAAGAATTAATTACCAAATATGACGTGTTTACTTTATATTTATGTTTCTCAAAACTTGATAAACTATTAACTTTAAACCTACATTTTACTATATCTAAAAGTGAATGTTTTTGCATGGTCATGTTGAAAATTAAATCAATGCGCGTATTTTAAGAATATTAAGTTGATATATCTGCGAACTTATAATGCAAAAAATATGCTTTCGATACTCGTGGTGGATACACCACAGCTAGCCTATTGTGTAGTTCTGTGCTTAACTACAAACAAACTCTTTTTTATTTTTATTAGAAAAACTATATAAAAAAACAACTAGTAATACAGTTATCATTGCTTAAATTTAAAGCAGTAGTATGTTTCATTCTGTTACTATCTTCATCAACATTTTCTAAAATAGTTATTATAATAGATGTAACAGGGCGAACTCCAAAATGTTTTGATTCTATGGAATTCATTACATTCTTTCTGCTTTGAGATCTATGTAAATTTATACGTATGTGTAATTGATTCGACATTTGACCAACATATTACACATAACATTCACTACTTGTTAATACATAAACTATATTCTTTATTTAACAAAATGAATTTATATGTATAAATTTGTAGTTACAGTAAACTTTGCGAGTTTATGGGTGTAGGATAGGTGTCATATTAATTTAGATAACTGGATAGGGTTTTTTATTCTAGTATAATTTGTCATAATGGGGAATGGAATGCCAACTTCAGTAGGTAAGGTTCCCCTAATCACCACTCCCAATTGTAGGATTTTTTATTTCTCTTTTTTCTTATTTATTTTTCACCTCTCTTCTTTTTCCACAGCAGTGAAGGGTGGTATAGATGAAGGATGCTGTGAGCTTAAGCATCCACATTCTTTAAAAAAATTATAAGTTACTTGTTTGAATAAACAATAATGGCACATAAAACTACGTTAACCAGTTAATATATATTGGATATTGTTTTAAAAAGGGAATGCCGAATCACTTTCCCTTAGGGTGAAAAAGACATTCATTTCTTCACGGTTCTTCTGAAACTCAGCCTATATTTGGAATATGGACTTGGAAACAAAACATATTATATTTGGTGTGTGTGTCTATAAAAGAACTATGTAGGAATGGAACAGCTAATTTCAACCTTAACGCCACCTTATGCATAAGTGATATGAATGGCCAGGGCAGAGATCCATAGCGTTTATATATAGCCATTCCTAATTTTGAACTACTGACTAAAGGAAAAACAGCCAAATAGCATCACCTGCCACCAAAAAGGCTTTGTCCGCTTCTTTGAAGTGGATTACAAGACTAACTGTGATTTTCACGACGAATGCTTACAGTTGAAATTGAAGAGGGTGTTCACCGGCACCACATCTCGAATTCTGGACTCTTCGATCTGCAGCCCAATTCGTTTACCACTAGACCACGCCTTACTCGAAAACTACGTATTCTAATGTAGGTTATGGTGCTTTTCAAGAAGTAAGTTTCAACATGAAAGTTTATGTTACAGAAACAGGAAAAGATATGGAAATAAATTACTTATTATAAATAAGATATTTTTGGTATGGAACCTCTTGAATATTGTACAAATAGAGTGTCATAAGTTATAATATATCTAAACTAAAATATCACAGGAAACTGATTTATGTTTTAATGTGTGTTTTATCACAGGTATGGATATTGAAGAAGGCAGAAAAGGCGGGACATGGTTCGCAATATCCAATACAGGGAGATTGGCAGCCTTGCTTAATCTTATGAAACCTTTGTCAGAAATGACAGAAAAAAAGTTAAACAGAGGTAAACTATTCTATAGTATTAGGCAACGTCTGAATGTAGCTATTTAAACAAAGATTTCAACGCCGAAGAAAGCTCTCTCTTTCTGTAAAACTCACCTGTTCAAAGACAAGCTCGGACTATAGGGAACGACTTGAAAATTGCGTAATTCTTGCTCTAATCGAAAGAAAGCCGTTGGTGTTTCACCCAGAGAATATTCTGCTATAATAAACGCTTAGCTTAAGTTTGTTGTCATCAGAATTCAGGCGGATTTTCTGAAGTTTCAAATGTTATGTGATGCGTTGTTAATAATGTAACCGGAAATTTTAAAATACAAACTGTAAATATAAACGTACAATAAATATAGACTAAAATCTCGTGTTAAAATTGAAATTTCATCAAACTGAAAAATAAATCAAACAAAATCGGCAGAAAAAGAAAAACATATATTAATTAATGAAAAATATCACAAAATACATCAAGAACTTAGAAAACGAGATATCATAATATATATACCTAAGATACGCAAACATACTGTGGTTTTTCTACCTTGTAAACATTTTCAAAATGTTTTATTTACTTTAATTTTTTTTACGCTTTTTACTTAACATTGATCAAGAAAGTCATTAAGTTGGTATCTTCTAGCTTCCTTTGTTCCTTGCCATTCTATTGAAGTACAGACGTTTTACCAGTAACGTGCAGAGAACGTTAAAAGGGCAGGGGCTAATTTACGTAAAAGGGCACTTTTCAAACATGGTAAGGCAAGATTGTTTTTGGGATGGAATTGGGTGGAAGTGTTAGGAAAGACTAGGGAGACTGTATGTTGCCTATGGTACTCATAAGACAGAAAACCATGAGAAGCAAGCAGATTCTCTTTTAGTCCTATTCAATTGATCTGATAAACAGTTTTAAAATCTACAATAAACGATAAATTCTCGCGTTTTTACGCTTAATAGCATATCACAATTATTTCTTTAATGTAAAGACCTACAAGTTCCAATGTGTCATTCATGTTAGATCTGAAACATATAACTCGCAGCAAGGTATTTTAGTAGTTATGGGCAATTTTTATGACTGAGAAAAAGGGTACTTTTAGGGAAAAAGAGCAGGAAAGCAAGGGTTTGAGCATACCAAGCCATCCCCTGTGCCCATCACTGTCTTCTACCCTTTGAAGGTTCTGGCTGTAATGTTGCACATTTTGCATGCATGGAGGTCGACAGTAGTTACCTTCAATCGTAGGTTAGGTAATACCGCGACTTTACGGTCTCTTCTATGTTTGAATGAGAATAATCAGTCGCTATGGTAAATCTGACGTTTCACATTAAGATAGAAACATTACATTTATACACTCATGTACCAGGACCTTAGTGAATTGGTTAACGAGAAATCATCTAGAGAGAATGTGCCAGTCTAAGCAATTGACTATCCAGTGAAATGTGGCCATCCAAAGTCAAAAAGCAAGTACACACACTGTGTTTTAAATGGGTGAATATGGTAACGCATGTTGACTTTCTCTATACCATGAACAGAGATAAATACTTGGATTTCTTGGAAAGTTTCCCTAGGTTCAACACTTTAGACCTGGCATATGGATATTGGCATGCCGAGTTGGTTAATGAAATCAGATGTTAAACTTTTTTTCAACATGAGAGGTGGCTTGTATGCATTTTATACCATTTGGCCCAGGTAATGCACCTACTAGCTTTGAGAGGCTAATGGAGTTAAGAATGAAAGGGCTGCAAAAGAAGAGATGCATGGCCTATCTTGACCTTGTTTTAGTGTTTGTCACATATTTGAGGCTGTGGCTGAGAGCCAGGCAATGATATTCCAATGAATAAAGAAAAGAAGCTAGAAACTGAAACCAGGAAATTGTCTGCTTATGTGTACATACTTGGATTTTCTCTATCATATTTTGATTGAGATGACATTTCTACAAACCCTGCTAAGATAGCAGTATTGAGAGATTGGCTTCAGCTTGTAACCGAACAAGAAGACCACAGTTTCCATGGTTTTTATCATATTACTAATAACATAGGACTGCGATAGTTTATTGTATTGAAGTTTTTACATGTTCTACAGTAATTCCTGTATGCTGAATCCGAAAATGATATGCATTTTTCCCCATCACGTACAGATATTTCATAAAACGCCATAATGCAATATATAAAAGAAAGACCACGTAGATTTCACAAAAAATATAAAAAATCAGGATGAATGAGGATGCATATTCGTTTGACATCAATGATCTTCTCTCTTCTTCAGTTTGTTTATATTCTTGTTAACAAACATAATAATGAAAAATTTTGATTGTGATAAACGAAATAATAATTTCATCTAAGTAAGAGTTTTTCTTCCCGATTTGTAAAAAATTCCTACGTGATAGAAAAAAATGAATATTATTTTCGAAGTCTGCATTGCTGAATTATTGAAAATCCGTTATTAAAAACAAAATAACTTTTATGAAGTTTAAATTCGCAGGCCTATGTAATTTGTAGCCAAGTTCTCAAAAGCAGCATTTTCTGCTCTCACTAAAATTAAGATTCACTTTGGATGTGAAAGCAATGTGAACAAGCACTTTGATCCTTACATCTTGCTTAATGGAGAGTTTAGTGCTAGCATATGCAGGACAAGACACCGAGTTCCAATTGAATACTGACACCATCAATAATGTAATTGGAGAATTGTTATCAAAGTTGCAGGATAGAGTAATATTCTACACTAGCCATATAGTAATGGCTTCTGAATGTTCTTATTGTACAACAAGGAAAGAACTGCTTGCGGTTGTAGTCTTCATAAAACACTGTGTAATAGGATTTTCACCATCTGTGTGGACCATGTTTCACTTATGTGGCTCTTTAACTTCAAAAATACAGAAGAAACACTTTGGATAACAATGTTACAATAGTATTATTTTGTCATAGTTTATCATTGAATGCCACGACATATAATTACAGAAGAATTGTCAAACCACATGGGTAGACTGTCTACTCATGAAATGTTCTTATATTGGACACTCTGGAAATTGAAACCATTTCCACCATAACACCAAGCCCTGCAGTAGGAGATTCTGCTAGTGGATGAATGCCATGGTTAATTCTTTGGGAGCTCTTGAAAGACTAACTGAAGGACCCATCTCTAGCATGGGTGCTCCTTGCTATGGGGCAAGGTAAAAGTTGGCAAGCATAAACAAACTGAGAAAAATAGAATTAAAACGTGTACGGTCATCTACAAGTGTAGGAAAGTGTAATGTACCATCACCATTAATCAATGAGCCATGTTTCTCAGACTGTGCTGCAACTATTGAACTCTTCTGCGAGAGATTTTCGAGACTTTGTTTAACACAAAAACTGGAAGGCTCAAAAATGTTACCTGCACTTATGCTAACTGGATGCATTTCAGTCGAGATATCAAACATTTGTGTGAATAATGTATAGTATGTGCCACCCAAAGAAAGAATCAACCAAGGGAAAGAATTGTTGAATCTAATCTATAGAGGATATCCCTGAATGTATTACTTATCTAATCCTAGAGAGTGAGAGAGGTCATCGGTACATACTCAGTTCCTTTGACTACTTCACAAAGAGGGCTTAGGTTTATTCATTCATTAATATATCGACCATCTATGACTGATGTATTGGAAGAGCATTGGATAACACAAGTTTGAGTACCCGAAGATATTCACAGGGATCATGAACTTATTTTCAGTAGCCAATTGTATTCTGAGCTGTATAAAGTGTTAGGTGTAGTGTAGTTATGCACTTAACCCTGTCACCCTCTGTTTGATGATTTAGTAAAAATTAGTAATACAAACTACAAAGCTCACGTTTGTCAAGTTTGTTAATCCTAGCCAAACCAACTGGGATGAGCACTTGCCTATATGTTATGATAGCATAAAGAGCACCTGAAAAGAATATACAGGATGTTTGTCAAACATGCCCATATTTAGGCATGAAATCCTGTTACCTTTGATTTGATGTATGGTCCAACAATGTCCACGATAATATGTAGAGTAGTACTCCAGCAAATTAATCCATTGACATACAAGTTATGGAAGATGTGAGGTGCGTGAAAGCACATGTAACATGCTGGTAAACTGTGTCTATATGTCATAGATGAACCGATTGCGCACTGACTAGACCACTAGTCTGAGATGGAGATCAGTGTATTGTAAAAAAATGAAAATGAGGTCTCTGGTCACATCGTCTCACCTGAAAAGGAGGAAGGAGCTTAAAGTATGTATCTGGCTGTTCAGAATGAGCCAGACGAGGATATACTGGAATTAGAGGATAAAGATAACTCCAATAGTCATCTGAGCTGTTGCTGACATCTTGATCAATAAGGCTGGGACTGATTGACTATCGGAAAGCTAGGATTGTTTGTAAATTGCAAGTGAGTGGAGATCAAAGAATGTCGCCTGAAGGTTACATAATATGGCGCTGCCTGAGGTTACGCAACTGTTGCGTAATAGACAAAGAATGTCGACACCCGAGGGTAGATAACTATTACATAATATGCAAAGTAACCCGACACCTTGGGTTACATAAATGTTTTGTAATAGACACCAAAGGGCTATGACTTCCACGAAGTGGGAACCTGAGGGCACGTTGCTATGCCGCTATGACAGGCGGAAGTTGTCATGTCGCCATGGCAATGGAAGTGGCACGAGAGGGCTCATTGGTATAATGTAGATCAACATGACATTATCTTTATTGTAACAATCAGAGTTTACAATTAATAATTTAATCTAATGTCAAAGTTACTTTATAAGTAAAACAGTCTGCAATTTTAGTCTTATCAACTTTATAATTTTCACTTACATACTATTTACAGAGGCAGATGATGTTTCTATTGGCAGGTGATGTTATCATAAGCAGAGGATGATGAACTCATTTTAGAGTGTCTCAACTTCTCATCAATGTTTAGATTTTATTATATATCCTAAAGATGTAAATATCTTATTTGTATTTTTTATTTGTTTAGTATGATAATAAAAGGGCTCTTGACAAATTATTTCATTTCATTGT